CAGCTCCGGGCGCGGCGCAGGCGAACAGCGGCCGCTCCGCGCTCCCGCGGCTCTTAAGGGGCGCCACGCAGGCCGCCCATTGGCCGCTATTTATAGCCCATTCATTCCATTGGCTGGCGCTGCGGGGTGGTGCTGCCGCTTTGTCCGCCGCCGGCAGCCCCCGACACCCCCAGGCCACCCACCCGAGCGGTCCGCTAGCTGGGACCCCGTGCACCCACCTGGCACCCGCCCAGGACCCTGAAGCCGAAGCCCAGGCCCGTGGACGTCCGGAGTCCCCCTCACACACACGGCTCCCAGGCGGGAAACTGAGTCCAGAGATGCTCCGGGCACGTGAAGACGCTTGGGTTCCTCCGCACCCGGCTCCCGCCTCCCCTAGTCGCGCCAGCCCCGGAGGTGGCGGCGGCCCAGGGACCGGGAGAGAGCGCCGGCGGCTCCCTCCCGCAGCAGGTACCGCCACACCCCACCCGGCCATCTGAGCTGGCCCCAGCGGCTGACCTTCCTCAAGGTGCCCGCCGGCACCTCCGGGCGATCTTGGTGCAGAGCGAAGGCTCGAGAGGCGCAGTCTGGCTCCCGCCCAGCCTGGTGGCACCGCGGTGCCCTGACCTTGGGCAAAGCGTGGGGCTCCAGCCGGAGACCCTCAGGCCCAGCCCCTCAGGTAGACATGGGGACACTATGCCCCTGCGAGGCTCTGGCAAGTGCACAGTCTCAGAGTCCCAGACACCAGCCCTGGGCCCTTTTCTCCAGGGAGGGTTCACACCACCCCACCCCCAAACGCAGTCCCGAGCTAGGAAGGGATGGGAGGAAACACTCATAAACAATAAGCACACGTGAGGTTTCAAAAACTCATCTCACTAATAATTAGAATCATCCAAATTGACATAACAATGACTATACCCTCCCATACCCCCAACACACTCAGATTGGCAAAAATGATGTAAAAGACGACACCAGCCAGCGCAGGCTCTGGGTTGGAACGTGGGGAGAAGGGCCTGTGAATTGCTACATCCTGTTTGGAAAGTAATTTGGCAGTATCTATTAAAATTAAAAATGCTCCAACTCCATGACCCAACAATCCCACTTCCAGGAATCCAGCCTATAGGAAGGACAGTCTCGGTGCTCTCTGCAAATAGACCAAGGGATGCGTAGTGTGGAAAACAAGCAAACCCGGTATAACCCGATGCCCATCACTGGAGGACTGGCCAAGGACAGGAAGCCATCTCCCTGCCGTGCAATAGTATGCAGCTGTTAAAAAGCGGGCGGTGCCCAGGAAGAGGGCATCGCTTGAGCCCAGGAGTTCGAGACCAGCTGGGGCAACATAGCAAGACCCTGTCCCTACAAAATAAAAAATAAACTAGAAAAAAATAAGAGGGAGTGGTACCGTGTGGTTAAGAACCATCAGTGACCACTCACACACGTTCCTCTGTGAATAAAGAAAGGAAACGGGAGCCCTTATCTGTGTGTTTATTTGACAAAACCCCTCTGGTGGTGGCACAGTGAGCACCTGCCCGAGGATACTGCAGCAGCAGGGTGCACAGTGCCCTGGCCAAGGGCAAGCAGCCAAGTGACCACGTGACATCGGCAAGTAAGTGCCCCTGGGAGCTGGGGGGGCTCAGGCGACCCCACACAAGTGTGACCCCACACAACTGGACAGAAAGCCCCTCGCCCTGCCTATGTGAGCCTCAGAGGGTATGGAGTCCCCGCCTGCTATCCTGTCCTCATGGTTACTGCAGAGGGGACACTTGCCTCTTTCCTCCCTCATCTTGGCATGCATTGAGACCATTTTTTCAACCAATAAAACCAACCAATGTAAAAAGACAAATGGCCTGTGTGGGCTGGCCAGACAGCAAGTGTCCCTTATGCCTGGAATTCCTGCACCTCGTGCCCCCTGCAGCCCCTTCCCCTCATTTTAGAAATATATGCAGCTGCCCACGCCACCCTCTGCCCCAAAGGCCTCAAGGGCTCAAGTTTCTGTTTCTAGAAAGGGGAGCTGCTGTCCCTGGAGGCTGATTTGGCTTCCAGATTCCAGGGGCAGGGGAGGCACACAGGGCTTTCTGTCTTCAACCTGGAAGCTTCTCAGAAGACCACCTCTTCCCTCCCCCAGCCTCCCGGCTGCAGGCCTGACCTGCTTCCCCAGGCCCCCCACGGAAAAGGACCCCATTCCCTCCCTCCACAGGCAAGGTGGGGATTGCAGAGGTGAGGTCCTGAGGGCAGGGGGAGGCTCCTGCCTCACTCCAGCAATCCTCAGCCTTCTGAGACGGGCATTCTGTCCCCACTTAACAGGTGGGTAAAGGAAGATCAGAAGCTGGGAGACAGAGGTGTTTGGTCGCAGGGCCAGCAACCCTGCCAAGATCCCAGAGCGCCCGCCCTGTGCTAGGCTGGCCAGGGCTGCCCTTGGGACTCCGACCAACAGTGCAGGGTGGTCAGGCAGCCGGGATAGGGGTAGCGGCAGCGGGAATGGGGACAGGCCTCCAAGGCCTCCAGACCCTAATGTCCCCCCCTAGGGAGGCTCCCCACCAGGCAGAGGCCACTGGGAGCCTTGGCAGTCCCCAGAGGAGGGAAGCAGGGGAGGGGCCTGCAGGGTGCCAGCCTCCTTCCAGCAGGGCGCTACCTCCAGCCGACCAAGCTCTGTCTGTGGACCCTCTGCTCTCCCCAGGGCCCACAGGAGCCGGTTTGGCAGCGTCTGAGCAAGCAGCTGGGTGACATCACCGAGCCAGTTTATGGTCCAGGTTTCTCAGAAATCACACCTGGTTACGCAGTAACCGTCTGGCCAAACCTTTTATCCACAGAGCTCAGCAGGCACAGGCTGGGTGGGTGGAGGTGGGTGACATGGGAGGGCAGGGCCAGGCTCCAGGCAGGCACCACAAGCCATCCATCCGCAGTCTGTCCCCAGAGTGCAGCCGGCTGGCATCGCTCCGCCCGGCCCCGCCCCTGAGCTCTGCGGATCCCAGAGGGGAAGTGAGCTGGGGTTGGGCAGGGCAGGGTTGGGGCCACATAGCACAGCGGGGCCACAGAGGGGACCTTGGTCACCCAGTCCCTGTCAGAACAGTCCCTGCAGTGGGCTCCTCCCTTTCCTCCATGGCCTCCTTCCTGCCTATTCCCACCTTTCTTCAAGTTGGCCATTGCTTCTCTGAAGCCACGTTTACTGGCTTTAAATCCCAATCCCACTTTGACCTCATTGGCTGTGTGATGTTAGGCAAGTTACTTAAGCTGAGTCTCAGTTTCCCCATCTGTAAAGTGGTCCCTCCCTCATAGGATTGTGGGAGGATTCAATGGGATGACACTTAGCAGGGCGCACATAGCATCAATTCTTGTTAGGGGAGTCCCAATCTACCCAAGTGCCCAGGGATGGGGGCCCACACCGGGCAGTCAGCTGAGGCCTGAGGAGGCTGGTTCTGCTGGAGGACGCAGGCTGAGGGCTGGGGCAGGCTAGGTGAGCAGATGGGCAGTGCTGGGAAGGCTGCCTGGACAGGGGCGCTGGAGCAGCTGGCCAGCCAGTGATGGACAGGGAGGGAAGCGGGAAGCCAGGACCAAGGGAAACCACCGCCAAGTCACCAAGTCCTAATTTAGGCTCTTAGCAGGCACCTGCTTCTGTGTCCACACGGAAGCTGAGGAACCCCCAGGAGAAGTGGAAAGTTGAAATCCCCCAGGGGAGCAATTAGGGGTGATTCAAGCGGGTGCATCATCCAGGGAGTAGAGCGATGATCAGCTGGAACAGAGGTTGGAGAGCCGTGGGTGGGGCTGGTTTGCCTCAGTGTTAAGAGAAGACAGGGAGGCCATGATTCAGCAGCTGTAGAGGCAGCTGGTGGCCAGAGCAGTGGCCCCACAGGGACATGAGCGCATAGAAAGTAAGAGGCCACCGAAGGCCTCTCACCTCTTACTCCTTGCCCCCAGGGCTCTCAGACCCAAGCCCAGCTAGGGCAGGGACATGGAGGGCCTCAGGTCAGGCACCAGGGTTTCCATGATGGACCCCAAGGGGCCCATGGCGGGGGCCACAGACACCTGGCCTAGCCTGGCCCCTAAGGAAGGAGAGTTCAGAGTGCCTCACAGGCTGCCAGGGCTCCAAGAAGGAGCTGGCTCTGCAGGGACCTGGCCACCCCTATTTACCAGGCTGGAGTTGCCTGGGGCCTGGGGAGTGTCACCTATGGCTGTTGCTAACTAGTCTGGGTTTAGACCCAGGCTGAACCCCAGTCTGGGGTTCTCTGTTCCTCTCCAGTCCCCAGGGCTAACAGGACAGGCCCTGAACCCGGGAGCTGAGGGCTGGAGGAAGACAGTTCTCGTCCTCCGTCCCCTCCCCCGCAGAGGAACCACTCTGAATCAGCCTTGCTGAGACAGAATGTCACTCCCGCTTCCCTTTCCTACCCTGTTCTCCAGCCGCCCTCCCCCACTCCCAGGCTTAGGCCCCTCGCTTGTCCTCACCAGTCCCCAAACTGGGCCCAGTGCATCCAGATCTCATTGCGCCGTGGGGCCCAGGACGGGGACACAGACCCCCTTTCCCTCCTTGAAGCAGCTCCGCACTCAGGAGAGTGTGCCCTGTGGGCAGGCAGGGTGGGCCGGGAGCCCCTGCAGACCCTTCCAGATCAACAGCCCCGTGCCCCTGGCTGACCCTAGCCTCTTGGGGCCCCTTGCGAGTCCCTTTCCTGGAGTCCGGGCAGGGTGTTCCCAGAGCGGTGGCGAGGGGCTGAATGTGCCCGGCGAAGCGCCCTGGAAGAGGACTGTGCGCCTAGCCCTGCGCTGGCGCCCGGTTCCGGCGCCAGCCGAACGGAAAAAAATCTGAAAGGGCCGCGGTCGCCCCAGCCGGGGTTTCGCGGCCGACGGGAGAGGGAGACTTATTTTGTCCTGTCTTCCGCTCTCTTTCGCAAGGAGCAAGCGCACACAGAGGGACGGCTGCGCGGGAGAAGTTGACCAGGAAACAGCCCCGCCGGGCACGCTAAGGGCAGCAGGCGCTCCCAGGATCCAGCGCGCCGACTGGGCGTGCCCACCGTGACGTCATTAGCGGGCGCGGAGCCGGAAGTGCTGTGGCCGCTGCCGCGCGACGCAGCGCCACGTGTGGAGTCCTGCTGCGAGAGCGTCGCGGGTGAGACAACGCGGGGTCCACGACGGCTGTGCGCAGGCGGGAGTCGCCCCGGCGAGCCCTGCGCTGTCCCTCCAGCCTCACGTGGCCGCCCCAGCCCTCTGCCACCCTGGCCTGGCCCCCTTCCGCGTCCGCACTGGCTGAGCCGCTGTTGCAGTTTACGGCCAGGTCCGCGGCCCCAGTCCTTGCTCGGGGAGCCCTTACCCCTCTCGCATCCCCCCGCCACCCGTCCGCCCAGAAGCCCGCTTGGGGGAGATTGGGAGGAGGGAGTTCAGCGGATGAAGCCTGGCTTGGAGGTGACCTCACTGACCAGTTGCTGCTCCCTGACTGCGGACAGCTCTCAAGGCCGCTCTTTCTCCTCCCACCCCCGGGCAATGGGAGCCAGGCTCCCGAGAAGAGTGCTGGGGGGTCGGGTCCTTTGTGGGAATCCTTGGGGCCAACCTCTGCCATGGCCAAGTCTCACTCCTTTGTGGGAATCCTTGGGGCCAACCTCTGCCACCTCTGTCACCTATGGCTGTTGCTAACTAGTCTGGGTTTAGGCCCAGGCTGAACCCCAGTCTGGGGTTCTCTATTCCTCTCCAGTCCCCAGGACTAACAGGACAGGCCCTGAACCTGGGAGCTGAGGGCTGGAGGAAGACAGTTCTCGTCCTCCGTCCCCTCCCCCGCAGAGGAACCACTCTGAATCAGCCTTGCTGAGACAGAATGTCACTCCCGCTTCCCTTTCCTACCCTGTTCTCCAGCCGCCCTCCCCCACTCCCAGGCTCAGGCCCCTCGCTTGTCCTCACCAGTCCCCAAACTGGGCCCAGTGCATCCAGATCTCATTGCGCCGTGGGGCCCAGGACGGGGACACAGACCCCCTTTCCCTCCTTGAAGCAGCTCCGCACTCAGGAGAGTGTGCCCTGTGGGCAGGCAGGGTGGGCCAAGCCTCACTCTTTTCGTCTCTGAATTGACCTCATAGCCCCTTCCTCTTGTCCTAGACCAAAAAAGGCCTGAGTGCAGCCCTATTGTGCCGGGCTACCCACATACCCCCACCCCCACTGCTCAGGATCTGGGCCACACAGCCTTCTGCCCAGACCCTAGTCTACATCCTGCCTCTTGGGCCCCTGGCCGGCTCATGCATACACATCTTTCCCCAGGTCCCTGGCACTTGCCAGACTAAAAGCACTATGAGTTTCGTGGCGTATGAGGAGCTGATCAAGGAAGGTGACACGGCCATCTTGTCATTGGGCCATGGTGCAATGGTGGCAGTGCGTGTGCAGTGTGGGGCACAGACCCAGACCCGGCATGGCGTTCTGCGGCATTCAGTTGACCTCATTGGCCGCCCCTTTGGCTCCAAAGTGACCTGTGGCCGCGGTGGCTGGGTGTATGTGCTACACCCTACACCTGAGCTGTGGACGCTGAACCTGCCTCACCGGACGCAGATCCTGTACTCCACCGACATCGCACTGCTCACCATGATGCTGGAGCTTCGGCCCGGCTCTGTGGTCTGCGAGTCTGGTGAGTTCCTCAGGCCACTTCAGTTCTAAGTGAGAAATTGACACAAAGGTGGAGGTCAAACCGACGTCAGGCAACCTCCAGCCTGCCCTTCCTGCAGACACGCATGGCTACTCATTTTCTGTTTTCGCAGCATTCTTCTGGGGGGCTGGCTGCAGGGAGTGCAGGTAGAGGGAGGGGCCCCTCTTAGGAGGCTGGGCTGTAATTTGAGTGCGAGGTGGTGGGGACTGGACCATGGTAGCCCAGGGTCCTCCCTGCCTTGTAGGGCGGGGCCAGATTATTGCTTGGTGCTGACCAAGGTGCTGACTGTCAGCCCCTAGTCCCTGTGCTGAGGAGGGAAAGAGAGTTGCCATTTTCTGGAAGGAGTTCAGGGCTGCTCTCAGGAGCTCCTGGTGGGTGGGTGGGGAGCTGCCCCATCCTCATCTGTGGCCAGATCCTCACTTACCACCAATGAATATGAGAATCGTCGCTGAACCCAGGACCTGGGGTGTGGGCACTGCCCCCCACCCCCAGATACTGGGGCCATCTGGGGTGGCAACTGAAGTCAAGATTGGGCCTAGCCAAAGATGAGCCCAGATGGTGGCATGTTCCTTACGAGCTGTGGAACTGTGGTCCAGGGTCCTGAAGAGTTCCTAGCACCACTGCTGCTGACTTTCTGAGGGCTGCAGGCTGTTCTGTCCCTCTCTGGGGGTCCCCGGAGGGTGGGGGATGGAGAGAAGGACTCAGCCAGCTCCAGCAGCCACTGCCCCTTGTGCCTCCTGCTGCCAGCATGCAGGCCCTGGCTCCACCCGCACGAAAGGAGCCCAGTCAGTCAGCATTCCTCTCCCACTCTCAAGGGGGAGCGCAGACAGGAAGCCTAGGGGACCACTTAGTGCTGTTGATTGCTAGGGAGCTTGTGAGCCAGGGCTGCATGTTTGAATGGGGGCTCTGCAGCCACAGATGCCACGGCTGTGTGGAGACAGGATCGGAGGTCGCCGGTGTAGCAGCTGTTGAGAGAGCCTTGGCGAGGGGCGAGGTGGGCAGGTGGGAGGAGGTGGAGGATGTGGAATGGGGGAGGGGCCAGGGTGCCTCCATGGAGTCTGGCCCAGGCAGCAGATGTCCTCGACTGGCCCTGGGAACCTGAGCAGGCCGTGGATTTGGGCTGGCTGGTGCCGAGCGCCGTTTGGGTGTTGAGGAGGAGGTGGCACGTGTGCGGTGGGTGCTGTGGTGGAGTCTGGCATGGTGGCACGTGGACTGGCAGGCATGTGGTGCCGGAAGCTGTGGGGTGGGGACCGCAGGCCCTGGCCCCAGTGCTGTGGGAGGGGGAGTCACGGGGAAGGTGACACTGGGGGAGGGCTATGTGGAGCTTAGGGGCCCTGCCAGGCCAGGCAGAGCCGCACCCTGTGTGCTGGGGAAGGATTTGGCGGGCTTGGCAGGTGTGGATGGCTTTGAGAGGACCAAGGAGCTCTTGCGGCGGGGGGGGGCACGCTGTTGACAGGGGTGAGGAGACAGCCACTCCATGGGAGGCGATGGGGTGAGGGATGGGATGGGCCCAGGCCTCTTTGTGCCCTTGGCAAAGACTCACTGTGAGGTCCCAAGCTGGGCTCCCCTCAGCCTCCAGGGCTTGGGGCAGCCAGGGCCAGACAGGGAGTGATGCCTCCTTATGGCCCTGGACTCAGCAGCCCTCTGTGGCCCTTTGCAGATGTCTCCAGGGTGCGGGTGGGGTTGCTTCCTGGGTGGCTGTGGGCCCTGAGCAGCCCCAGCTGATGTCTGCCCGTCTCATCTTGCAGGCACCGGCAGCGGCTCCGTGTCCCACGCCATTATCCGCACCATTGCTCCCACGGGCCACCTGCACACGGTGGAGTTCCACCAGCAGCGGGCAGAGAAGGCTCGGGAGGAGTTCCAGGAGCACCGCGTGGGGCGCTGGGTAACGGTGCACACCCAGGACGTGTGCCGCAGCGGCTTCGGCGTGAGCCACGAGGCCGACGCCGTCTTCCTGGACATCCCGTCGCCTTGGGAGGCTGTGGGCCATGCCTGGAATGCCCTCAAGGTCGAAGGTGCATTGGGGTTCCAGAGTGGGTGTGGGGCTGGGCTCCAGAGAGGTCCCAATGCTTCCAGGCCACACAGTGGCATGGTCAGGCCAGGGCCTTTTTGTCCCTTTGTGGCCTGAGGTGAGGAGCTGGTTGGGCTAGCCAAGGAGTCAGAGTTAGGGGGATGAGTCCCACTGGGCCTGCTCCTGGCTCTGCCCTGGTCCCCACCCAAGGCAGGAGGTGTCTGAGGCCCCTGGGGAATGTGTCATCTCCCAGTCCCCCCTACCCAGTGCAGAGTGCAGGGCAGGCCCAGGGCAGAGGTCAGAGGGCAAGGACACCCCCTGCCCCCAGCCATTTCCTGCAATCTCCCCTCCCCCAAAGCCACACAGCCCAGGGAGCTGCACAGCCCAGGGAGCTGGCCCCTTTTAGGGAAGACGCTGGGTGTGGGGGCGGAGGCCTGGGGAAGGTCGGCCCTAAGCCAGGGAGGCCCAGGGTTTTCCCTTTTCTGGAGAAGGAGCGGGCTCAGGCGGTGAAGGGGGAGCCTCCTCCCAGCAGAGAGCTGCAGTGCAAGGGGGTGGGGAGGCAGGATGGGACCCTGGGGAGGGGCCAAGGCCTTGCTCAGACAGCAGGGCAATGGCCAGAGTCCCCCGCCTGCTGGCTCGGGTTCTCCTGTGCTCCTGGGCCCTGCTGAGGTGGCCTGGGGTTGGGGGAGACCCCAGCCACTGGGGTCCCCACACCTCCACCCCCTGCAGCTTTGTCTTGGTACACCTGTGGGTTCCCCCTTGCTGTGGGGCCCCAGGTGGGTGGCTCCAGGGGTCTGAACCTGTCTGTTGTCCCCTCCCCGTGTCCCTGTAAGCTCCCTCCTCTGGGCCTGTTCCCTGGCTCTGCTGGGTCTGGGTCCGGAGGGTCCTGACGTACACACGGGTCTGGCATTTCCCAGTGACTCACCCGTCATGTGAGCCCTGGTAGGGAGGTATGTGGTGTGCTCAGCCTTGGTGGTGACACTGTGCCTCGTCTGGGCTGGTGTTGTGCAGCAGGCACCTCCCCTGCCCAGACCTCTTGGCAGCCCTGTCTCAGGGTATGGCTGAGGGGACCAGGTCTTGGGGACATGAGACTTGCCCAGCCACACACCTCTTCCCTGCCAGGACAGGGACCCAGGCTGAGTGGAGCCCGTGGGCGGCCCTGTGGGAGGAGCAGAGAGGGCTGTCATGCTCGGCCGTCAGGCTCTGCTCAGAGTGGGCGCCTCCTGTTCCCAGGAGCAGGCGACAGCCTTTAATTTCCTGTGACAGCAGCGCCCCCACCCCGGCCCACGCACCCCACCCTGTGCCGCTGGGTGGTTAGAGCTGTTCCCAGGCTCAGTGTGCTGGCTGCTCTGATGGCCCTGCCTGGCAGGACTGCCGTGCCCACTGGGGCCAAGTAAGATCAGGGCAGCGTGGCTTGGCCTAGTGCCTGGGACATGGGAGGGCTCCATCCTGGGACTGACCTGCTCAGAGTGAGCTGTGGCCCTGTGCCCAGAAGGGCTCCTGGGTGCCAGGAGGGCTCTTACCCCAGGTGGCTGTCAGGTAAGGGCCAGGCCTCTGCTGGGGTCATCCTAGGCCGGCCTCAGGCCCCACTGCCAGGGCCCAGGGCTGCCAGGGCTGGGTGTAGGCAGGGCCCCGGGCTCTGCCAGCCCTGCCCTCTGACCCCCATGTCCTGCTTCCTGCAGGTGGGCGCTTCTGCTCCTTCTCGCCATGCATCGAGCAGGTGCAGCGCACGTGCCAGGCGCTGGCGGCCTGTGGCTTCACGGAGCTGAGTACACTGGAGGTGCTGCCGCAGGTGTACAACGTACGCACCGTCAGCCTGCCCCTGCCAGACCTGGGAGCTGGCACAGCGCCCCCTGCCAGCCCTGACGCCAGCCCCTTTCGCAGCGGCACGCCCATGAAGGAGGCTGTGGGCCACACTGGCTACCTGACCTTCGCCACCAAGACCCCTGGCTAGTGGCTGCTGCCTGGGAGCACCAGCGAGCTGGGAGCACTGTGGGGCCCAGGCAGGGAGGCCAGAGACCACCTTATATGGTCAGTGGCCGCCTGCTGGGGCCTGCGGCTTAGAAACAGATGGTAGGGCGGGGCTGGGGCCTCCTGGGTGTCTGAGTGGTGGAGGAGCATCATCCTGTCCTCCCGCCTGCGCCTGCGTCCCTGCCAAGCTCAGCGGCCTGGTCCGCGCTGCTGTTTGTTGCCAACATGAAGTCTGCACTGCCACAGGCTCCCCTGGGTGTTGAGGCCAGGGAGGCGGTCCGAGCTCCTCCCCAGGTGGCCCAAGCAGGAAGGGGGTGGAGGAGGGACAGAGATCCTGCTACATCTGACCCCAGGGCCCTGGCTGCCCCCAGTGTCTGGGCCAAGGCTCCAGTGCTGGTGGTCCCGGGGTGTGGCCGGAAGCTGGGGTGGAGCTGACCTTAGAGCCCTGCCCTTCCCCTCTGTTCTCCCCAGTGCTTCTGGGGACCAGGGGCTGTGACCCAGCTCTCTTGCCTCCAGGCTGACCCCATAGCGTTGGCCACAGCCCAGGCCTAGTGTGTTCCCTCCTGTCCAACAAGCAGCGGGCAGCCCCTGCCTGGCCAAGCCCCTTGACGTGTCGTCAGTGAGATCATATGTCACACAGAGGAACAGAGCAGGACAGTCATTTGCTGAGCGACCCAGCAAGTCTGTGTTGGAGCTGGGGTTTGGACTAGCCTGTGAGTCCCAGACCTACACAGGCCCCCCTGCCTCTCACAGGAGCCCCGGCCCTGGACGACCCAGACAGACAGCAGTGCGGGTGGGAGAGGGGATGTATCTAGCCCAGCTCCCAGGGACTGTACCTTGGTCGCTACCATGGAAGGCAGAGGGGGTGTTTCCTGAGGGGAGGACACAGAGGGGCTGCTTAGGCTGGGGGCACTTGTCACTTGCTCTGCTGTGTGGCCCTGGGCCTGGCCTCCCTCTGGTGTGTAGGGGTATCATGGGAGGGCCATGTCAGGCCATGAGGCTGCCCGGCAGCTGTCCCTGGTGCGGCCTGGGTGTCTGCCCAGACAGCCACAGCTGTTGGGAGCCTCAGTTTCCCCTGTGCTGGGGAGGGAGCCCCGGCAGCTCCCGTGTGGGCATGGGGCTGGCCCTCGAGTATGCCTGACGACAGTAAACATGCTCTTCCCACCATGCTGCCTCGTCCCTCTGCTGCTGAGAAGCCCCCAGCTGCAGTCCAGGCCAGCCCTCCTGCACCTGGTCCCCCTGGCCCTGCCTGTTCCTCTCCTTGACCTAGAGGGGCGCCACAGGGGCCTCAGCCTCCGTACCACGGCCTGGGACTCCGTGGACAAAGGGCAAGTGTGTGGCCACCCCATCCGGCTATATGAAGGGCCACTTGTCCAGGGGGTGAGGCATCCAAGGGTGCTGGGCCTTCCTCCACAGCCCTGGCACTCCAGGTCTTCCTGTGTCCCCTGAGAGTCCCTTAGGGTCCCTACAACGACTAGCCCTGCTCCAGGGGCTTGTTTCCTCCTAGGACCTGGCCTGACCTCTAACCTCATGCTTAGCCCAGGGACAGAGGAGGGTCCCCAGGCCAGGCTCGACATGAAAATGGTGACACCAATACCAGGAGCTCCTGGTGGGTCAGGGCTGTGCCCAGGGCACCGTAAACCGGGTGGCCACATGTCCCTGCGTCAGTGGGCTCCCCCCAAGCCTGCCCTGCTTTGGCCGCTTGGCCTTAAGGGAAGGCCTTTGGGTTGTTTGACAGGTGAGGACCAGATGTTTCTTTGGGGCCCAGCTCTCCCTGGTTTTCAGAACACACGCCTTGGAGACTACAGGGCCCAGGTTGTGCCCATTTTCCAGATGGGGCTGAGGCTGGCCACACAGGTGGGCTGTGCTGCCGGGCCCCACACGTGGGCCCCCATGGCTTTCCAAGCCCTCCAGGCCCAGCTCGCCTCACCCAACTCCATGAGCCAGATGCGAACTCTGTGTCCTTCAAGACCCCACTCAAATGTCCCTTCCTCAGCATGCTTTCCCAGACCTCATTGCCCGGGTAGGAGCATCTCCACTCCTACATGGCCTGGAAGCCCCGCAGCAGAGCAGTGGACGCCAGGCAGTGCCCCAGTTCTGCAGATGGGGGGCTGACTCGCGGAGCAGCAGGGCTGGGGCCAATCAGCAGGTCGGTGGTGGTCACCTTGAGTCAGTAGCATGGGGCAGAGATTCACCGGGAAACCCCTGCCCCACGTCACTGGCCTCTGGCCCTGTTTTTCCTTGGGCAGGGGCACAGCTGACTCCCTGCAAGGCCCTGGTTTTCCTGCTGCAAGGTCCCAGGCCTGACTACAGCCACCTCCCCCAGAAGCTCCCCAGGCTTGCTCCCTTCCTCCCCCACCCCTGTGAGCTGCTTCTGGGCCTCACCCTCTCCTGCCTCTGAGGGCCCCAGCCCCCCAGCCAGTAGCACCTGGAGGGCAGGGGTTCTGGGTGGGTGGTATTAGGGAGGGCTGCCAGGGCATTCAGCCCATTGTACAGGTGGGGAAACTGAGGCCTGAAGGCAATGAGGCTTGCTGGGACAGCAGCCATAAATGTCCCCCAGACTGACCGCAGAGGCCAGAGGGGGAGGTTTACTGGTGCAGTTGTGGAAGGCTCCTCAGGGGACACTCGTGCAGGGTGGGGGTAGAGAAGCGTGAGCAACCGTGCGAGCGGGAAAGGACGGCCCGAGAGAATGGGGTGGAAGGCTCCACAGAGGCAGAGGGCGCCTGTGTTCGCAAGGCTGGGACCCTGTGTCCCACTGCCCAGCCTGAGGGTGTCCCCAGGGAGGGGTCTTGCTCCAAGTCCCGGCTGTGATGCCCTCGAAGGGAGTGTGTGCAGGGGGCTGGCTGACTGATCCCTGGACTCCACGTTCGCCCCCTGCAAGGTGGAGGCGTCACACAGCAGAAGGGGCCTGAGCACCTACTGTGTGCGGACCCCACTCCTGGGTGACCCATTCAGGCAGCCCAAGCCTGCCCTTGGGGCTCCTAGGGGCCAGGCACAGATGTGGGCGCAGTGCGGATGAGGTGTGGACAGCCAGAGGGACGGGTCGGACCCCTGTGCTGCCGGCCGGCGGGGTTGGGGGCCTTTCTGCCCCTGCGGGCGCTGCGCTCCGCTCATTTCCCAGACATTGGAGCAGAGCTGCTGGAGAGACCGGCTCAGAACCGGGGTCTGTTGGCCCTGGCTGGCTGCGGAGTGGGGGGGTCTCTGCGCAGGGGGTCAGTGGTCGCGGGAAGTGGGGCTGTGGGGCCGGCCTGCTGCTCCTGCCTGGAGGGTGGCCTCGCCCGCCCAGCGTGCCCTCCACATGTCGAGTCTCTGCCCAGGGGAGCCCGTGTGGCCCAGCCTGGCGCCCGAGACAAGGGCGTTTCAAAGTCAGGCTGCCTCGGCGGCGATGGCGGTGGCGGGAGGGAATAACGCGGCTCCCACCAGGCTGAGAATAGCTCAGAATTGGGTCATGCTCGCCGCGCGCCGCGGTCACAGCCTCCAGCCTTTGACAATAATCAGCTTTCTCCCCGACATCTGTCCCTGCAGAGAGGGGCTGGCCGGCCCGGGTTTTTGCAGGGAGCAAAGTCCCCCTGGGCTGGGGGAGGGGCATCCTTCCCCCACCCCTGCACTGGCGCCTGCACCCTCTCCTGGCTTCCGTTGCTCCCCCTGCTCCGTGCCAGTGCCAGGCCACCTCCTTCCTGCTGCCCAACCCCTCCTCCCCGGGCCCTGCCAGCCTCCTGCCCCTGGCAGGTGGGGACAAGGCGAGGCTCGGGTCAGCTGGGGGCGGTGGGCTGGGCGCTCTGGCCAGTCCTGCCCTCTTCTCGTGAGAGTCGGTGTCCCACACACTGCCCAGAGTGACCTCTTCTGACCCCTCCAGCCCCTCCTGGGCTCTTCTTCCATTTAACACAGACAAAGGGGCACTGGGGGGTGGGCCGCCCCCTTTCACCAAGGACTCGAGGGCCCATGTCTCTCCGGACCTAGAGCTTAAGCCTGTTCCTTGTTTCCCACCCAGTTTTTCCTGAGTCCTGCCCTCCTCCTCCCAGAGTAGCTTTGAGAGGACAGAGGAGGTGAGTGATGTCACAGGCCCTTGGAACCCACATCCATGTTGCCACCTGGGTACACTGCCACCGGGTGGTGCATTAGATGCCAAACCCATCCAGGTAACAGCATAGCAGGTGTTTCCTGCACAGGGGGCCTGGCGTGCCTGTTTCGTGCCAGGCATACTGTGTTTGGTTCTTAATCTTTACAGACCCACAAGGCATTTCTGTTCCAGGTGACACCATTTCTAAGCTTTAGCCACGGGTATGTTCTTGAAATGCCCATGAAGTTGAGGTTCTCAGAACGTCCCTGGACTGGCTGCTCAGCGTCACCCAGGAGCGCAGTGGACATGCAGATTCTTGGCCTCACCCCAGACCTACTGAGGCAGGAACTGTGGGGCAGGCCCGGCCATCCATCTTCAACAGACCCGCCAGGAGTTCAGACGCTCATGTTGGAGAATCCCTGCTGGAGGAACCTGGAATCTCTCAAACTTCTTTGCTTTCTTTTAAAAACAAACAGACTTTGCTAACTTATGCAGCAACTCTGTGGAAGCCTCCTGCACTCTGCGCAGCTTCTCAAGCCGAGCTGTCCATTAGAGCTTCATCTCGCCTTGGTTTGGCTGGAATGTTTGCTCAGTCCCCACATCCTTCCTGTGAGTCACTGTCTCTCCTGGGGCTTCCAGAGAGAGACACGGGACAGCAGTGGAGCACTGTGTGCAGACCTTGTTGAGTCCTGATTTGCACAGACCAAATGGTTTATTTTACAAAATGGGACAATTGGGAAATTTGAAGGCTGCGTGGCTATTTTGTGAGTTTAAGGAATGACGGCATTGCCAGGTGTGCCGATGGGGTGGTGGAGGGGCAGCGTGGCTGGGATTTGCCTCAAAATGCGGGAGCAGGGAGGATGAGGGTGGAGGAGGGGAAACCAGGCTGGCCCTCATACCCCGTGGTCCTGGAGCCTGGTGCAGGCCGCCTCCTGCGGTGCTCAGGGTTCCGCGTCCACTGAGGGCCCTGCTCTGGGCTCTGCTGTGCAGTGGAGACAAGTCAGAGATCCCTGGCCTGGGGTCACTTCTCCTAGCCTTGTCCCCACCGGGGTCCCTGCAAGTCTGGGGACTGTGCTGTGTCTCTCAGGTTCTCCAGTGTTGGGGTGTGTGGGGATGGCCCCAGTGGCCAGCAAGATCAAGTGCTGCGGAGCAGGTGGAGAGACAGGGTGGCCCTGTCCCCAGCAGGGGCAGCTGGGTGCTGTCCATAGGCTGCTCCTACACGTGGCCCAGCCAAGGAGGGCAGAAGGGGGTGGCGAGCAGGCTGGGACCAGCCTTGCTTTTTGCCCCAGTGCCACCCCCTTCTGCCCTTCCAGTACCAGATGACCTCCCGTCTCCTTGCCTCCTCTTTCCAGAACTTCCCAGCACCCTGCTCGCCCTACCCCCACCTAGCGCCACCAATAGGCCTGGCTGTGTCCCTTGCCCCAGAAAAGAGCTTAGAATCGCAGCTTATTGCAGTCTCATTTACAGACCATGGAACGCACCCATCTGCCCGTCTGGCTCAAGAGTCATGACGACCATGTGTGCCATGCGACCACCTCTCAGAGGACGCCCCCCTGCCTCTCGCCAGCCCACCTCCCACAGCCCCCGGCTGCTTCCTGCCACTTCAGTCACATTTGCCCAGGTGAATCTAAATGGGTGTGAAGCAGAGCGGGACGAGGTTTCTCAACAGAGACGGCGTGTGGCTTCACAGAAAGCACCGTGGTAGCAAGGAGCTGTCACCCAGGGAGCAGAACTCACAAGGTGAACGCAGCCCGTCCTGCGGAGGCAGGCGCAGTTCGCCAAGGAATGCCGGCGTGGGGTGGGGACAGTGGGGCGGGCGACAGAGGCTTGTTGCTAAGCTACCGGCACAATGGACATTCCGGGTGCCAGGCAACGGAAAGGAGACGTTTCTTGGCAGGGAAGACTGGGGGGCCCAGGCTGCACTTGTCCCCAGCTCTGCTGCGTGCAGCCCCAGGATGTCCAGGCGCACTGGCTCTCGGGAAGTGTGGCCTCCCTCCTGGTCAGGGCTTTGCACCTCCCTCAGGCCTGCCCCACGAGCTGGGCACCGCCGGTGGGGGCTGCGCAGGCTCCTTCCTGCAAGTCCACACCCCCCACGCCCCACCCCTGTCTCATAGCCTGGCCCTCAGCTCCTCCTGCTTTTGTCCCTGACCCTGCTTGCCTGGCCTTCCCCAGGTCCCCCCAGGCCCAGAAAAGGGGCTTTCATGGAGTCCAGGGCAGGGCTGGGTGTTCCAGTGGGACCTCTGTCCCCTGCCACCACCCCGCCCAGCAGGCTCTGCCTGCAGCTGCACTGCGGGTAAGGCCGTCCCATGTCCAGCGGACCGTCCCATGTCCAGCAGGCCGTCCCATGTCCAGTGGGCCCTTTTGCCCCTTTAGGCCTCGCTCCCCCCTCTGTGGAGAGACTGTTAAGGAGCTCTGGGCCCAGCTGGTGGCCTGGGGGAGGAAGGGTCATTGCACACCCACCGTCCCAGGCCTGCTGGCGCCTAGCCAGCCCTCCCCACCCCAGTTGCTGGGCTTCTAGGTCCAGCCCTCGGCTGTCACCCTTACAGTCTCCCTGTGAGGAGCCCCCAGCGCCCCCCCACAGCCCCAGGAGGTAGAGTCAGAGCCCCACAGCTGCCTGTCTCTGCACCTCTCGGTGGCACCAGGGTCCCAGATAAATGTTACATTCCTGTGGGCCAGGAACACGTCTCTGCCCTAGGTGGGCCGGTGCAGTTGGCGTTCAGCGAGCACACAGCGGAGCCCGCCAGGCAGGGTCACCACCCGGCAGCTCTCAGACGCCTGCCGCTCCATCTGCCTGGCTCTTGCCACCCTGGTGTCTGCCGCCGGGCTCTGCTGACCCTGTGTCCTGGCCCCTTGTCCTGCCCCTGGAGGTCCCAGTGCGGCCTGGGGGAGGCAGGGTGACGCCCTGCTGTGTGAGCGGGAAGTGCGGGAAGGCGGCCCACACCTGGGGCTGGGGCTTTGGGCAGAGGCCCTCTGAGCCTCAGTCCCCTCTGCCCTGTTGAATGAGTGCCCTGCGTGGGCTGAGGGGTCCTCCCTGAATGTGGCATGGGGCAGTGCCCAGGAGCGCCCTCAGCCGGCCAGCTCCTCACCCTGCCACACACGCACACATACACACGCGCGAGCACACGCATGAGCACACGCACACGTGCTCACATAGGCACCCAGGGGTTAAGGGAGATCTGGCTTCAGCAGCTGAACCCACTGCCCCCGCCAGAAGCTTGCCTGCCTGTGCTGGGGACCAGACAGACAGCTAGACGCAGACCCCTCCGCAGGCCCCCGGCCCAGCATGGCGTCTGGGGTGGGGTCTGCCCTCAACAGGTGTTGTCACTGGATCTGGAGCAAAGCCAGGGTGGGGGTTGCTCCCGTCCCCTCCCCCACTCTGTCCACTTCCTGAGGAGGAAGCTCAGGCCCCGCCAAGGCGGAGCTGGGGCCCCTCGGCCTCTCTCCCAGGCAGGGAGCTGGGGACAAAGAGGCAGCTGCCAGCAGCGTTGGGGGGGGCCACGGCCTTTGTGTGTGCCCAGCCCCTCCTGGTGACCTCACCGCCGGCCAGAGAAGGGCCCTTTCTTTCCAAAGGCGGCCGTTGGGAATCCGCCTGGGGACAAAGCTGCTGCCAGGCCGGGGACCAGCGAGTGGCCGGCCCCCCTCGTGGCATAAATTAGGGGGGGCCGAGGTGGGGGAGGGGAGGGCAGCTGCATCTGGCATCTGGGAGAGGGGCACACACGTTGGTGCAGACAGACCACCCCCCAACTCAGCATGGGGCTGCCCCCTCCAAGCCTCATTCATTCATTTGCCCAATTCCTTCATTCATTCCACAAATGATTCCTGGGCACTAGCCCAGGCGGGGCTTGTGGGGTCCTGGGGACACGGAAAGGGGCGGGTGGGCAGGGGTGGGGGCTCCCGATCTGCGGGGGGAACTGGGACAGGCAGTCACCGCTGCCTCCAGGCCCCCAGGGCCCAGGGCTGGACAGGGTGGGAGATCCTGCACCCTAGCACTGTCACCTAGCGGCCACAGCTGCCCAGCCTGAGGTCACACAGCAGCCTCTCCAGGCTCCCCAGGAGAGGTCAGGAAAATATTTGGTTTTCAAATGCGTGATGTTGAGTGACAGCCCCACTCCCACGTGGGGCTGAGGAGGGCTTCCTGTCCCCGGGACCGGGTGCTCACAAAGCGTCCTCACAGCCTTGCCAGCCTTTGGCCTTGGCCCCCTGCAGAGCGCTGCTGGAGCCCGCCTCCCCACCCCCACAGCCCTGCCAGAGACCCTGCCAGGGCGGAGAGCAGTGCAGATGGCACATGCGGGGACAGGTGGCCCAAGAGGGCCCAGCCAGCTTGGGTCATCCAGAGTCCCTCAGGCTGCCCTGTGAATGCCCAGTTCTCCCCTGGCTGGTGTCCAGAGTGAGGCCCACCGACCCTGGCCCCTAGGACAGGAAGGGCCGTGTCCCGTGAGGGGTGTGGGGCGGCTCCTGGCCTGAGGCCCGCAGTGGGAGTGCAGAGGCTTTGGGGATGGCGGTCACCCCAGCAGTACTGACAGCCCCCAGGGGACGGGCTGGGAGCTTCCACAGCCCTTTCATGGCCACTGGTGCGCCGGGGCAGGGGCACCTGCCTCATGGCCCTTCCTGTACACCCTCCACCCCCCCCCCCCCCCCCCCCGACCCCGCCAGCCCCACACATGGGCAAGGAGAACAGGCCTGGCCCGGGCCGGGAGGAAGCTCAAAGTCTCCCGGGCATCAGCCACCAGGGGCCGGGGCATGCAGCCCCCCCAGCAGCCCCAAAGGCCCAGTGCCCCCAGCAGAGCGGGCTGGGCAGGGGCGGCTGTAAGTAGGCCAGCGCTTTGTGCAGCGTTGCTATGGTGCCGCTGTCGCCTGCGCAGGCTTCCTCCTGGGCCCATTCCCAGGACGCCTCAAGCCAACCCAGCGGCTCCCCAGCCCCTACCCCGGCCCCATCCGTGCAGCCTCGAGCCAACCCCTGCCCGCGCCACCCACAGGCTGCTAGGGGCAGATATATGTCCCACCTCTGCCACACACGGCACACACGCGTGAGCGCCCACATGTATGTGCACACATGCACACACAAGCACACACGCTCGCACACACGCCATGGTGCACACAGGCGCGCAGCGGCAGCCGGGGCAGGCACCAGTCCCCCGGCTCAGCAGGCCCCAGCGGCTGCGGCACACCCGGACTGGGAGGCCTTGGCGAGGCTGCCTCACCTCAACCGCTGAGACTCAGAGGTCACTGCTGACCTTGAGAGAATGGCCCGGGGTTCAGGTGACCAGCGGGCCAGACCCTGCCCCCACTGTGGGCCTTCCGGCCGGGGGACCTGCTGATGGGGAGTGCAAGCCTGGGCTCCTCCCACACAATGGCTGCGTGCCTCTCCTGGCACCAGGCACGAGTGCCTCATTCAATCCTCACCACCCCACAGGGGGGCGGGCGTCACCACCCCATTTACAGGGTGGCGGGGCGGCAGCGCTCTGCCTGGGCGTGGCAGGAGGGTGGCAGTCTCGGGGCCTGGTGGAGCAGCTAGGAGTCAAGGCATAGGGGCCCTGGGGGGCCCAGCTCGACTCCCGTTGTCAGCTGACGTCAAAGGGCGGGGAATCTGGGTGTCTGGGGAGAGAGGTGGCCCGAGGGTCCCTGGCCTCCCTGAATCCCTGCTGAGGAAGCCTCCAGGGAGGGGCGGCCAAGAGGCTTCCTTGTGGTTGGTGCCCTGGAGAATGGGCAAGGTGCTAGGGCTGGGCCCTCTGCCCCTGCCCAGCCTC